TGTAGCACAACACAGAAAAATTACAAATTGTCAATAGCTAGAAAATAGAATCAAATAAATGCAAGAAAAGTCCTACTGTTTGAACACCATTAATATCTAGGTCAGTAAATCCTGAGCATGGACAAAACCAGAAACTAAAATCTTACCTACTTCATTATCGTATCTATAAATATGTAATTCAGCTTATCAGGGTTCATTCATTCTTCTGTGCAATTCTTAATTAATGCCACTTGGAAATGCTCAGACTAAATTAGCAACTTTATATTTTATTTCTCCCTACAAGCTAAAAAAGACAATATTTCCTCCCTCTGTAATTAAGCTAACTTGGCTCATTTAAAATGCATTCTGAACAGAGAAAGAAGTTAAGAACATTTTTATTCCTTTAGCTCATGATATATAGTTTCAGCAAACTCTGCTAACACACTCATATTTATATCTAGTTCAATTTTTTTCATGTATCAGTCTTAATTGTTGGTATTTTTATAACAGCCTCACTCACCTATATACACATATTAGTGGAACTGTCAAAGAATATGTTTGATTAAGGAACCCAAGTATTTCCATAAACTTCTAAAAAAGCTTAGTATTATTTCGAGTAACTGAAAAGAAGCCATAAACTAAGACACTTCAATTCTTCAGTGAAACTACATTAGTTGGTAAAAGAGAACAAAATACATTTCACTGAATAAATCAAACATCTTGGTTTAGGTTTTCTTTTCAGTTAATCGAAAAAAGTTTTTCTATAAGTTCACCCGACAAAATTCAAATACTTATAAATGTCTTAAATTAAATATATATATATATATATATACACACACACACACACATCTTTTTTACCAAATGTCTAAATATATATATATATAGAATTTATAAATAGCATATTCTGTTTTTTGATACATCATGATATTACAGTAACTAAAAATTGAAGTTTATGGAATTGGTAGATCAATGCTTAACAAGGCCCGGCATGGCCAGGTGGTTAGGGCTACTCGACTCGCAATCTGAGAGTCGCGGGTTCGAATCTCCTACACACCAAACATACTCGCCCTTTCGGCCGTGGGAGCGTTATAATGTGACAGTCAATCCCACTATTTGTTGGAGTTGGCAGTGGGTGGTGATGACTAGCTGCCTTCCCTCTTGTCTTACACTACTAAATTAGGGATGGCTAGCGCAGATAGCCCTCGTGTAGCTATGCGCGAAATTCAAAAACAAACAATGCTTAACAAAAATGTTAATAAAACATAAAAGAAACTTACTGAAAAAATATGATGTTTAATACATGAGTGGCTAACTGTATAAAGTTTTTGACAATATTTCTGCTATTTACATTAATCATTCATTCTCTGTGTACTGAAAACAGACCTAATAAACTGATTATTCAGTTATTTTACTGAAGCATACAGAAATGTTAACAAACTATTGAAACATACGGCGACACAGTTAATACCCAAAAACATTTTGCTATTCCAAGTGAATATTAAATACCATATACCAAAACCCAGCTAGAAAAAAACATAGACGGTGATTATGCATAGTTCAAGCTGAGGATGCGATTCTTACTAACAATAACAGAAAAATTTGTGGTAAAGAGAAAAAAAAAGTTCAAACTGAGAAATAAAAACATGTTTTATAAAAACAAAAGACTTCCACTAATAATGAGATATTAGATGGACTGGAGAAGCTCTCATGTTTTACATCCTAAGAGAAAAATTTCTAATGATAAAAAACACGTTAAACTTTGTAAAGCAGTAAGTTTTTTTATTGGATTGTTTTTCTGAAAAGTAAATTTCTTCACAAACTGGTTGATTGCTGAACTATGTTTCTATTTCTATTTTAAAACCATGGAAGGATTTTAATTGGCCTATCACAGAGAGCTACTGTCATAACATAACTCAAACTGGCTTCCCAGAATGACTTTATTTCAGCATACAACAATGTCCAGTCCAATTTTACTTTTCAATGAAAATGTTAAATTTAATACTATAAAAACATACTATGACTAACTATAGATTTCTTTAAATAACTTAATACATTTTCCAGTGAATAACTAAGTTATCTTTTCACAAAAGATTGGGCATAAAAGAAAGCATAAAAAGAGCTGGCAATAATGGAGTTTCTTTACTTTACTGAACTTTAGCCACACAATTTTTTCATGCAAAAGTTTCAATTCTAATACATTTGCCCAACTATAATTCTTAAGCATTGAAAAATGTCTATTATCAATATATTCTCTTCAAAAAATTATTCAGGAAACATTGCAAGTCTAATCCCCTTCTACATAAAACTTTTCTTTCCTGGCTACAAAAAGCCATCAAGAAACTGAAACATGTTGTAATAACCTTAATCAGTTAGATAGAGCAAGAATTATTGTTTGTACATGTTCTGCTGTTGTTGAATTTTCATATTTTGTTTCTTAACCTTTATAACATTTATTTTCTTATCTGTATTTTAAATTCCTCTTAGTTTGACCAATAGAAGTACTACCACATTCACATTTTATTTTATAATTCACAGTTTTATCACTTAAATTGATTTTATCTTTGGTATTACTCAAAATTTGATTACTCTTATTCAAAGGTTAGAAAATAGGATAAAATTATTTCTTAAAAAAATTAAATAATTGCCCTGTCAATCCTGAAATATAAGATAAGATAAACACTTCCTTTTAAGATTTCTCATAAACAGATTTTAACATAGCATTTTCAACTGACATTTACCAATTTATTAAAGGATCTATGAACCATATTTGTTATGCATCCTCTTTCAACTTGTTTAATGTATATCTTTAAAGCACTGTAAACATAATAAAAAGCAGAAATTTTTTATCTATTATGTAATGATTTTTCTACAGAAGTATGTTGTACTTTATCTATTTGATATTATCTATTACACAAGAGTCTACCATTCGTACTTATGATAGATTTATTTTGAACTAGCATCATCTTTTTCCTTTTGAAAGCTCCATTTTGAGCAAATAAAATCCTCTCTCACAAAAAAGTCCATTTGCATCATATCTGACTGTTTGTTAAAAAAAAGAAAAGGTATATTTAACTTTACTTATAACTTTTTGCGAGTTTCCAACTTTATCCTCCTTAAAGGTCACTTCAACCCTATTTTACTTTATCTCTCAGATTACTGCGGATTTTTCATAAAACCCAATTCATCAAATTTTAATATACAATACACTGATAATCACTTTACCATGGAAATTAGGTGGAACATTTTCAGGTGACATCAAAACAATCAGTGGTTGGCCAAAATAACGTGGCATATGTTCGTAAGAATGACTGTTATCACTGTCAAGAATCAAAAATAGAGGCTTTCGGGTAAAAGGAAACAAATCTCCTGGGTAAAAGCTAGAAGAAGAAAAAAAAACACACTTTAGAAGTCTTGTTTTATATAAAACTGTCAGCACAATAATTTTTTGCAGTTGGTTTCTAATTAGCTTTTGATTTTATGTAATAAAGTAACACGTGTTAAGTATATGTAAGTGAAACCTTTAAATATTTCAACAACATATTAGTATACGTATTATGTAGATGCTTTAACCATCTGTGCAGTAAAATAATAAATGCTGCCATTTTAAATTTTTACTTTACTAGTTATGAAAACTATCAAAAAAATTGGCAAACTAATCAAAGTTGCATTTAAAGCACAGAATTCAGTAACTGCTATTTTCATAGGATTTGCCATGAT